CCCGGAAAAAAAAAAAAAAAAGATTAGCTCAAGATTTTATATACACACAAAACTAACAACTAAATGAACTATACAAAGAAAAAAATTATACTTAACAAGTATTAATAACAGCTGGCTTTGGGCAGTCAATGTTTTCCTATTTATTTCCCCATTTCCCTTAATAATTACACATCACTTTATTAATTCATTAAGTCTATTGGTAAATTTAGGTATATAATATGATGGCATTCATCATTGGGAATTTGTACTTTTATATGATATATCTTGATTCTTACTTTTTTCCCATCCCCCTGCCCTCCCTTAAACCCCTCTACCACTCCCTATTTACAAAGACTTTGTTTCCGTTTTTTTCTTTTCTCATATTTATTCCTTTCCCTTCTTTCCGTTCCCTGCCCTCTCACTTCCCCCACCCCTTTGGACCTTTTCTTCCTATTTCAAATTATCTATTATATATTTTATAGCCCAGTTGCCCATCAACTGGAGAATGGATAAAGAAGATGTGGGTTTTTTTTAATATATAAAATGGAGTAATACTCAGCCATAAAGAATGAGAAGCTAGAGACATTTCAGATAAATAAATGGATGTTGAGACCATACTCAAGTGAAATAAATAGGACACACATGTGTAAATACCAAATATTTTCTCTGGGCTGAGAAACTTAAAGGGTAAATAAGGATCAAAAATATCCCTCTTTTTCTGTACTAAGGCTTGAACCTAGGGCCTTTGCACTGAGCTACCTCCCCAGCTCCCCACCCACTTTTTAAATTTTGAGTCAGGGTCTCACTAAATCACTAAGTTGTCCAGGATAGGTTCGATCTTGCAATCCTCCTGCCTCCCACATATCATTTTTACTATGGAAAAAAAAATAGTGTAGAAAGAAATCTCATGAGTGACAAGCACTACAGAAAAAATTTCTCTGTTAAATGTGAGTTGGGTTTTCCTCTATCAAAGATGAGTTGAGAACCAACTCCATGCTACAAAAATTAAACATACATAAGTGCCAGTTTGGCATTAAATTTTTCTAAAAATAAATTATAAACATATCATACATTTTCCAAACACTTCTTCATTTCCAAGAGATAGCAACACACTCCTCATTCTCCATTCCTCCACAGTGTTATCAGTTGAAGTTGCTAGATAAGTTTAAAGTCAGTCTATGTACCACATTACTCATCCTAGCAACTGCCTAACACCTGACAAACAGCAACTCTATAAACAGCAACTTCAAAGAGTCTCTCATGAATCGACCCTTCAAAGGTTTCCTTACAACAGAAAGTTCAGAGTTGTTGCCTGAAAACATGTAATAGGTTCAGCGATTTTTCTGTGAACCAGTTTAGTCATGGGGGATGGGATACCAGGAATGGAACTCAGGACCTTGCACTTACCAGGCAGGCATGGCACCACTGAGCTTAATCCCTGACCCTGGTCATTTCACTCTTTACAACGGTAAGACAGTAGTAAAATCTGAAGTAGGCCATGCATACAGAAAAATACAAACCACAGATACAGGCGACATATGTCAAGGACTAAAGCCTCATGTAATTCCCCTCTTCATGGGATTTTCTTGGGACGTGACCATTTGTCATTAAAAGCCATGTGCTTGAGTTCTTGTTTGTCTAAAGAAATGTATTGACACAGCAGTTCCTTGAGATGAGAAGGCTGATTCAGTAAATCTGAGAGAAATGCATCTATTTGTAGATGGGTATAAAGACCAGTGTGAGTCAATTCAAGCAACCATAAGACAGTTCCCTGCAGTCCAACCATCGATCCTTTCCTTGTCCAATGGTAGACTTCTGCTTCCCAGATAAACTGAAAGATCCCTCAGCAAAGCCACGAGGGGCACCAATATCTTTTTTTACCAATGACAAGAGAAAAGTGTCTTAAAACAATAGACTTTATGGGGGGAGTTATACTATGATATGACAAAGAAAGACTAATTTTCTTTTTTTTTCTCCTGGTACCAGGGATCAAACTCAGGATCTTGTGCTAACAAGGCAGGTGGCAAAACCACTGAGCTAAATTCCTAGCCCACAGCAACTTTTTTTCTTTCGTTTTGTTGTTGTTGTTGTTGTTCTTGTTGTTTTTGAGACAGTGACTTGCTATGTAGCTCAGGCTGGCCTCAAACTCATTAAAGCTCCTGTTTTGGTCCCCCAAGTGCTGGGATTACAGGCATGCACCACCACTGCCTGGCAAAAATTTTTAATTATAACTTTTTAAAACTTCAAATATTTTTACTATTATAAAAATGTCCACTTTTAAATGTTTCTTAACCATCACAGTGAGGATATGTTCTACTACAGCTTTTATTTTCTACTCATCAGAAAAATAGCAGTAAGAGCTGCATGTGGTTGTGCATGCTTATAATCCCAGGAATCTAGGAGGCCAAAGCTGGAGGTTCGCAAGTTCAAGCCCACCCTGGGCAACTTAATGACTTGGCAAGATAGTTTCAAAAATAAAAAGTCTGTGGATGTACCTCAGTGCATAGGCCCTGGGTTCAACACCCAGAACAAAGAAAGTAAAGGAGGGAGGGAAAGAGGAAAGAAGGAAATAGCAATTAAAATATCTTACCTATGTGTACAAAAACACAGTGTCTCTGGGCCAACAAGTTTGCAATCCATTCCAGTTGGGGACCGCCAGCTCACAAATAACCTGTTCTGTAAGCGCATAGGTAAAACTTTTCTTTTGTATTCTTCATATTCTTCAGGAGTAAAAAGTTTCCCTCCATCATCCTCACCAGTAATTCTACAATGACAACAAAAATACATTTTAAGTCTTGAATATTTTCCAGGTTAAAAATACTAAACTCTAAAATTAAACTATACTAATAAGGAAGGATGAAGCGGGTGAAGTATGGGGAAAAAAGCAGGATTATGGGGAAAAAACAAGAACTAAGATATATCATGTAAAAGTACAAGATCCCAATGATAAATGGAACTGTACTGTTTGCTTTAAATATACCAATAAACATAACAGAAAAATAAATAAATTAAATTAAACTATGCTTATATACTCAAAAAGCAGGCTGCTTTGAATTTTTACCGTAAACACACTAATAGTCAAATTATACACAATGACAATAAAGCTTTTGCTTGTGACAAAGTTTTGAACATGCTCTTAGTATGGTAACTTAGTATCTGAGAAAACAGGCAAAGCAGGAAGGCTACACTCACCTTCCCTGAGTTCTTCCCTGACATAGGTATACAATCTCATTCCAGAGATGGCCGCCTTATATCTGCAGGGAAAAAAATATGCTTCTCTCTGAAGACACAGCAATGCAGAGAAGAATCTGAACAGACCTTGCTAAGTTCCTTCCAGTTTATTACCATTAGGCCATACACTTTGGTGATTCCACTGTATTTTTGCAGGACTTTCCATTCTTCATCGCAACCACCATAAAGTATACAGGATCTCCAGTTTCTGTGTGTTTTCACTTTCTGAAGGCTCCCGTGCCACATTAAAATTGAAATAAATTTAGAAACTTTTCTCTTGTTATTCTGTTTTTCATTATGAGGGCCTCAGCCATGAACCAAATGATGACAAAGGAAAACATCTTTTCTGTCCTACTCTTCCCATATAAAAGAGGATAATAAATTAAAAGTCAGTGATTTCATAACATCTGACTGTACTGATCAAAGTTTATCAATGGAAGAGTGACAACTATTCATCTCAACTTCTCTGAATTGAAGCACCTTCGCATTGAAAGCTACAGCCTAAACTATTAAACAACTCTAACGTTTCATCCATTAAAAACGGGACCAAAAAAAGTGCACACACTTTCACAGATACACACACACACACACACACACACCAACATGACTAATTTCCATACCTGACCCCAAACCTGCCCAGGAGTTTAAACTTATGCAGGCTTTAAAAACACACCTGGAGCAGGGGGCACACTGCAATCACAGCACTCCTAAGGCAGGAGGATCGCTGTGAGTTCAAGACCAGCCTGGGCTACATAGTGAGTTCCAGGTCAGTTCCAACTACATAGTGAGACCCTGTCTCAAAAAACCACACACACATACACCTGGATTTGCACAAGTTCAAACTCTCATCTGTGTATTGGGTAATCAAGTGCTTCATTGCTTAAGATTTAAAATTTTATGGGAAAAATTACGCCCCTATTTTTATGAAAAAAAAACTAAGAGTTTGTCTCCCTAGAGGAAAAGATGGTAGTACAATTAAAAGAAGTTGTTAAAAAATTGAAGAAATGTCATGAAAATTACTTCGTAGAATGCTACATAATTTTTTGTGCAATGTATAATTTTCCACACTTTGAAGCCATTAGTTGAGACAGAATATAAAAACTAATTAATGTGCTGTGAAATCAGCACAACCTCCTTTAAAGAATCTAGAAACAAAATAGTAAAACCAACAGGCATTTTATTTGGGGATAAGTTTTGAGCTATATTACTTTATTAAAACTATCAAAAAAGTACTAACAGGTACCAGAATGATCTTAAGTGCAGCTCCTTTAAATAAGAAATCATTGGCATTTAGTTCTAAACCAATTTATAGAAAGACTACACTTTCCTTCCCAAACTCCCACCAAAGCACCAAAAAAAGAAAACTCTGGGGAAAGAAAGTTCATTTCTGGAGGATACTCATCTTTTTTAACCTTCCCCCCCATCCCCTTCCATATCTAGGCACCCAAATCTGGTTTGCCCTACCTTTCTCAAATCTTGAAGGTTAAGTAAAGGATTTGATAAGCCCTTCTATAGGGGAGTGTTCCATGTATTTATCTTGCAAAAATAACTCCTGCTAGGCCTGTCCAGCATTTTCTGAGCAAGAAACTATTGAAGGCCCACAATTCACATATCTAAATATCTCTGGAGCCCACAACCTATACATTAGTATCTAACTTCTCAGTCAACACTAGGGCCCAGTGACTTGCTCCCAGGGAGGAGCCCTAGAGAAACCGAAGGCTAAAGGAGCTAGTTCTGCCTTGAATAAGCGCTGGATGGGTGGTAGTAGTTTCAGCCCAGTACGCCCTGCGTCACTAAGAGCTACCTGAATCAAGCACGTGACTGAACTATCAGCAAGCTCCCGACTTCACTTTTCCCATTCTGTTTCCAGGGAGCTCTAAGTATTACCCAAATCTACGCTACAGAGTACCAGCGCGCGCGCACGCGCGCGCACACACACACACACACACACACACACACACCCTTCCCAACAGGCCTCGCCTGTGATTCCCACGCGCCATTTAACAGCCAACTCTCATTCTTAGGAGATCGGGAGACATGAAAAACAAAACACTTCAAGGCAGGCGCAGGAGCCTTTGTTAAGTCCTGGACGAGGAACGCAGTCCTCAAGGCAAACAACAGGCTTCATTTCCGGTTTCGGGAAAGGCCCGGAAAGCATTGGGCCGGGCTCTTTCTACTAAAAGCAGCACCTCGGGATTGGGAGCACGTTCAGAAGTGCACGACTTATACTACTGAAATTAACGTGCAAACATGATGTCTTCTGTTATAGGCCCCGAGTGCTCACAGTGTAATTCTTCACAGTGCTCTTTGGGGCAGCGGGAATTGAACCCTGCAGTCAATCTGGAGTTAATAATCCCTCCTGGAGGGAGAGATCTCTTTAAGAGGCCTCGTAAGAGACTGGTTATTGAATGGAACTGCAGCGTATTTAATTACAGAAAGATGAAACTTGAAATTAATCTAGGCCTCCCTCAACAGCCCGGGAACGGATTCCCAGAGCCCAGCGTTCGCTCATTCGTCAGGTCCCTGGCCGAGCAACCACATTTGGGAAGGGGTCGGGGATGCAGGCTCGGAGCCGCCGCCACTGCCTCACCTCAGATACTCCAGATACTCGTCCACCGCCGCTGCGCCGCCGTTTTTTTTTTTAATGTATCAAAAATCGAACTCAGGACTTTATGCTTTCACTGCAGGCGCGGGGCCACTGAGCTACATCCCGGGCCCTGGCCGCTCACTTCTACCCGGCAGCCCACGGAGGTGCGTTAGAACCCCTGATTATTCAGGAGCAGGTTTTATATATTTGATCAAAGGGCGGTGACGTGAAACGGGGAGGGGAAGGGCAAGTGAAGTTATAGAAGCAAATCGAACTCAGGACTTTATGCTTTCACTGCAGGCGCGGGGCCACTGAGCTACATCCCGGGCCCTGGCCGCTCACTTCTACCCGGCAGCCCACGGAGGTGCGTTAGAACCCCTGATTATTCAGGAGCAGGTTTTATATATTTGATCAAAGGGCGGTGACGTGAAACGGGGAGGGGAAGGGCAAGTGAAGTTATAGAAGCAAACAGAAAGCAAGTTAGTCTCGTCTCACACGATAACAGTTTTGTTCCTTTTGAATTTTGTGAGAACAGGGCATTATGAATTTCGTTTACAGGACACGGTTGTCAATCTCGTCTGTATCTTTTGAAAGAATGTAGTTCTTTAAAGGTTATAAAGACTCCATTTACAGGAATGTAACCGTCTGCCCTGTTAGTACCGGGGCGGGGGTAGGGGGGCAGCCTTGAAGGAAGGCAGATTCCTGGACTCTGTTACCAAGAATCTTGTATTTACAAAAAATAAAATTAAATTTAAAAAAAAATCTTGTATTTACCTTCTCTGCAGCAAAACAAGGAGTTACAGCTATGGGGGGGGGATGCTACTCAGTTTGTTTCTCAAGTCCTGCTTCAGTAGGCCTGAATGCATGAGTACAAAGCAAGCAACACGTTCTTCAAAGAGAGTAAAGAACAAATATAAGGGGAAACAATTTAAAATTTTGGTGGGGCTTGATTGGGTTTTGCAATGCTGGGAATCTAACCCAGAGCTTCAATGGTAGGCAAGTGCTCTACCCCTAAGCTACTCCCTGCCTGAGTTAAGATCTTTTAAAACCTTTGGAAGACTCTTTACAAAATCTACGTAAAACTTGAATTGCCAAGAAATTGGTAATTTAGCCATAAATTGGCTGAACAACTGGAAAGGGTAAGAAACCCATCATTAGTGAGGAGGGAGGAGTCCTTAAACTCTTAAAGGTCCCTCAGAGGTGCAGGATCAGCTTTAGTACCATGTGTGTTACAGACCTGCCTGGTCTTCGTCCCTTCACTTTACTGTGCTTTGCAGATACTGCTTATTTTGCTTCTTTTTTTTTTTAATGCATGGCAGGTCAGTGGTGATCTGTGCATCGAGCATGTCTATCAGCCATTTTTCTGATAGCATGTGCTCATTTCGAGTTTCTGTGTTACATTTTGGTAATGCTCACAACATTTCAAAATTTTTCATCTTTCTTTTTTCTTATGGTAGTGGGGATTGAGCCCAGTTCTTCAGCACTGAATTACACCTTCAGCCCTTTTGATTTTGAGACAGGGTCTATCTAAATTGCCCAGGTCGGGTTCAAACTTGTGATCCTTCTGCCTCATTCTCTCAGAGTGCTGACATTACAGGTGTGCACTACCACTTTTGGCTTTGAATTTTCTCATTATTACTGAATCTGTTGTAGTGATTTGTGATCTTTGATGTTACTAGTATTAGTTTTGAGAGGCACCATAAATTTTGCCATATAAGATGTCAAAGTTAGGGCCGGGGATTTAGTTTAGTGGTTCTGCTGCCTGCCTGCCTCACAAGCTCAAAGTCCTGAGTTTGATCTCTAATACCAAAAATAAAAAGATGTCAAACTTAATAAGTGTTTCTATTTTTGACTGCTCAACTGAACAGACTTTCCCCCACCTCCTCCACCTGCTCAGGCCTCCCTTATCCATAAGACACAACAATAATGGATTATTAATACCTTACACCGGTGGTGGTGGACCTATGGCCACAGAGCCCTCTCTGTTGGCACACAAGCCATGTTGCCCCAGCGGCCAAGCATCAGTTATTCAGGTTTAATTACAGGGTTGGCACTTGGCAATAAATGAGTTTTGGGTTGCAGTTTAGACACTCAGTCTCTAAACGTTTTGACATCCCTGGCCTACACAATGGCCTCTAAATGCTTAAGCAAAAGGGAGAGTCTCATATCTCTTGGTTTAAATCAGGGCTGGGGATTTAGCCCAGTGGCACAGCACCTGCCCCACAAGCACAAGATCCTGAGTTCAATTGCTGGTACCAAAAACAAAACTCTTAAAGGAAATTGAAAATGCTACGCCAGTAAACAAATTATAGAGAAGCAAAAAACAGTTTGCTGATACAGAGAAAGTTTTAGAGACCCATGTAGGAATTCAAATCAACCACAATATTCTCTTGAACCAAAGTCTAATCCAGAGGAAGACCCTAACTCTTCAATTCTGTGAAGACTAAAAGAAGGGAGGAATTTGCTGAACAAAAAAAGAGCCTGAAGCTAGCAGAGTTTGGATGTTGAAGTTTGAGGAAATAAACTGTCTCCATACATAAGAACTGAAGGTAGGGCCAGGGATTTAGCTCAGTGGTGCTGCTGCCTGCCTCACAAGTGCAAGGACCCAAGTTCGATCACCAGTACAAAAAGAAAATTAATTGATCACAGATGTGAGGGTAATTTTGCTATGACATCTGTTAAATCATTGATCAGCAGGGTTGACTTGGCTGATCTGGCTGGCTAGGCTGGTGTCCCCTTTCCTCCCTCACCTCTTCATGTGTGTCCTTCCCAAAGCTGCAAGCTCTGTCAGAGGATGACCAGGGAGAAAAAGACCATTTCCTTGGTCAAGGGTATATGAGTAGCTTCGCTCCCCTGCTCCAATCCCCAAATATGCTCTCAAGATGCAATCAGTCAGGCTATCTCTGTGCCTCCCTTTCCTTTTCTGTTTATCACTTCCTATTTCTGGCTACAAACATAAACCTACTCATGTATCACAGCAGGAAGATCATTCTGAGTCATTTTTGGCTCAGACTTGCCAATTCTAGAATTGCAAATGAAGCTAACTGATATCTTAAAGACTAGCTTTGTTGCAATTTGGTCTTTTAACACTATTAAAAACTTTCACAAAGCTGGGCATGGTGGCGCACACCTATAAGCTGAGGCAGGAGGATTGCTGTGAGTTCAAAATCAGCCTGGGCTACTCAGTGAGTTCCAGGTCAGTCTCAACTATGTAGTGAGACCCTGTTTCAAAAAACCAAAAAAACAAAAAAGAACATTCATGATTCATGGAGGCTCAAAATATCACCATTAATGAGAATTTGGAAGAAGTTGGTTCTAAGCCCCACGGATGACTTTAAGGGATTCCATACTTCAGTGGAGGAGATAAATGAAATTGTGGTCAAAATAGCAAGTGAACTAATGAATATTAGTTTCCTACAATCTCCTGATAAAATTTTAACAGATGAATGAGCAAAGAAAGTTTTTCTTGGGATGAAATCTATTCCTAGTGAAGATTCTAGGATATTGTTGAAATGTCAACAAATAATGTATTTGGAATACTACATAAACTTAGGTGATAAAGCAGCGGGAGAGTTTGAGAGGGCTGACCGCAACCGTAAAAGAAATCTGTGGATAAAATGCTATCAAACAGCATTGCTTGCTACACAGAAATCTTTAATTATTTAATGGAAGAGTCGGTTGATGCAGCAGAGTTCACTGCTATCTTACTTTAAGAAATTGCCACACCCTTCAGCAACCACTACCTGGATCCATCAGCAGCTGTCAACATCAAAGCAAGACCCTCCACCAGCAGAAAGATTATCCCTCTCAGGAGGTGCAGATGATTGTTAGCAACTTTTAGTGACATTTTTAATGAAGGTATATACATTGTTTTTTAGACATAATGTTATTGTGCACTTACTAGACTTCAATATGAGATAAATATAACTTCTACATGTACTTGGAAACCAAAAAAAAAAAAATGCATGTGAATCACTTCATTGCAATATTCACTATATTGCAATGGTCTGGATCCAAACCTGTAACATCTTAGATAGGCCTATTTAAATTATCTGAGAGATAAAATAGTAAGAAAAATAACTTACTGAACTTCAATACTTTACTTCAAAAGTACTCTCTTATATATTTCAGGTCCAAAAAGTAAAATATGATGTAGACATATGATTTAAGTCTCCTCTTCCATCATCTGAAGTTATTCTTCTGTTAAGGCAGTCCCCATTCCCACTTTGGCTTTCTCTCTATTTTTATTAACTACTCTCCACCAAAGTATAACAATTCAGCTATAATCTAATAAGCTTTGAAGTCTACCAGGCACATGTGCAATTTATAGAAACTTTTTCAATACATAAGTGTCCACAGATAAATGAGTGATGCTGAAATCAAGTTCACATCTCAGAGAGGGCTCCCCATTCAGGACTCTGATCACATCTTTGGTTTGCTGTTGCTGGCTTTACCTCTTTATGAGCCCTGATTTTAGGCAGCAGCTCAACTAACAAAGATAAATAGCACAAAATGCCAGCTGCTGTGAGCTTATAGAAAAGTGGCATGGGGATGTTCATGTGGGCAAGTGTTATTTAATTAATCTAGAGGGAAATAATTAAAATAGGCTTAACACTCTTGTAGACTCTTCCTAGAAGATTCAGGAGGATAATCTCTCCTGGGCACAGAAGTCAACAAAAATATTGGGCATGACAAATTAAGAGTAAGGACCCAACCAGAAAGTGTTATCCCAAATTTTATAAAACTTTTCTAATTAGAAGCCAGCTTGGTGGCACATGCCTATAATCTCAGCACTCAAGAGGCAGAGGCAGGAGGATCGTTGCGGGTTCAAGTCCAGCCTGGGCTAAATAGTGAGTTCCAGGTCAGTCTCAACTACATAGTGAGACCCTGTCTCAAAAACCAAAAAAAAAAAAAAAAACCTGCTAATTAGAATACTGTATGTGGGTCCGACCTCTAATAAAATACATAATCAAG